AGGCATTAGAGCTGTTAGGGTTGTTGACTGGGATATAAAAATCCCCAAGGATAAGTGGAGTGATAGAAAGTGGGGTAGCTAGAAAGAAAGGTGACCAGGGGGGTGATAAATGATGGCAATTCTCATAAAGCAATGGGTTTAAATAAGCAGTGTAAACTTCGAAGGAAGATAAGGGCAGGGAAGATTGACTGAAGGGTACATTGAGGGGAGAGATGGATGCCTACACCACCTCCTCTACAGTTAAGTCTGGAAGTGTTGGAGAATTGTAGGTCACCAAACATAAAGAAGCAGGAGAAGTGATATCAGAGGGGGTCAGGCAGGTCCCAGGGAGTTCTAGTATGGTGAGAGATTATGAAATTCAGAGTTCGTGCAGAGCTGTAGATTTCAGATTGCTGCAGACAGAGTGGTGTTCCACAGTGAACATTGGTAAATAAGGAGAAATTACAAGGTACTGGGATGACATTCATGTGGTTTCTGGTAGGCTTAGTATGAGCAGAGGAGGTAAAGGGCCCTAAGGTGAGAGAGACATCAGCAGCTGACAGACGTAGGAGGAGAGACAATGACAGGAGCTGAGAGTGGGTTTTGTATGGAAGGGGTCTAGGATGAGATTGCTTGGAAGTAGGAGAGCAAGAAGAGAGAAATGAGTGCAGAGCATGAGATGAGAGAAGGGGGTGTAGCAAAGACGGGGAAATGTAGAGGTTGTTGGGTGCTTGAGGGAAGTGTGGGCAAGGAGTGATTTTGATCATAAGGGAGGAGACTAAAAAGAGTAAAAAGGAGTATAATATGGAGCATTGCTCAGATATGTTTGCAAACTATCAGAAAGGTTTGGATATATGGGAGTAGATGAATAGTGGTGAGGAGAAGAGATGAGGTGGTGTACATTGTGTTCGGGAACAAAGAGGATATAGGATAGATTTGGAATATAAAAGTGTGTATAGGGAGAATGGGGAGGATTGTAAAGAGTTAAATAAATGTAGAACTGCGCTGATTAGTGTTTGCAACTGTCATTGCTATGGGTTATTTAAACTGGCTGTGAAAATATTACCATGAAGACCGCAGTGTACCAGCTGAAAGTGTGTTATCAACCGTGAAGTACGTCTAGGAAAATAAGGTAGATTTTGTCACGTTAACTCTAAGGTAAACAAGCCTTAATATATTTTTTCCACTGTATCACAATGCCTGTAAGGTTTAAAAAGTTCGGCTCAGTTTGGGAGAGTCTGCCCCTCATATATAACTCATTACAAACATTTAATCATATTCTAATATCCTATACAGACTGACAGGTTTACTTGCATGGAATACTGGCTTGTAGTTCCATGCTTTAAGAGGAGTAGTATACTTTCAATATCTAGGTTTTGTTTTTTTACCTGCATCTGTGTAAATAATCTATAAATATAATTAGCTTTTATAAAGTGCCAAGTTATTCTGCAGCGATTTACAATATTATAATAGGGGAAATTTAACAATAAATGAGACAATTGTTACAGGAGCAATAGGTTAATAAGGACCCTGCTCAAACGAGCTTACAATAATCAACCCATATCTAAATTAAATTTATTTAGAATTATGGTTGCATATGAGATTGTTTGTACCACATCTTGGGGTACAACAGGTGGGATTTAACCTACAAATGACCAACTGTAGAATACAGTTCTAAAAGTAAATCAATTAATGAAACAGGGTCCACCTTGAAACGAGCATGCTGACAAGATATGTATTTTAATCATTCAGGTCTATTCAATGTTTTCTTTATTGCTTTATGTGAATGTGTGCTCTATATGAATTGTCAGGAAATTAAATAAATTTTTAAATTGTATGCTAAAATATTCAAACTGAATAAGTAGCTGACTAGGAAATTTTTGGCCTTAAATTTGAAATCCACTTTAATTTCTGAGTATGTTAGTGAATAATCCAGATGCTAACTGCATCTAGGTTACCATTCTCTTCCTGTTCCTCTAAAGACCAAAAAAAACAAAAACACTAAGGAGTAAATAAACGGTTACTCTGACCAAAAAGTATTCCAATAAAACATTGTTTTAGTTAAAAAAAAAAAATATATATATATAACACTTACTGACATGGTCTCCCCACTCCTCAGGGAATGAAATATAAATTGGATCTTGTGCAGAATCCAAGTTCATCCCGCAGCACGATCCACCTCCACTGATGTCACCATGACCACTTTAAATCACTTAACTGGTCATGGTGCTTTATGTAAAAACTGCAAATTATTTGACTTTTTTTATATACTGTGGTTAAAAGCTATAAAGTAGGAACATCTCCCTTTCACTAAAAATCATGTAAAATCGTGTTACCTGTTTAGTTTTACACTGCAAAATGAAATTTTGTCTGTTTCTGCATTGAGCTGAAGTTTATAAACTTTGCCAGCTTTTATTCTGGTCCCTATATGTGGCTGCTGGAATACTTTAAATTGTAAGCACATATTTCCTCCCCTCAGAAAGTAAGCATGATAGAATTCGTGCATTTTAACAATTAAGGACAATATCAGTTTATTAAAACATGTTCGTTTATAAGGTATCTAAGCATCTTAAATATTTTTTTCTCTAAAAAAAAAAAAAAACTTTATCCCCCTTGCCCAGTATTCCTGCATTGGAAGAATTCATGTATCATAAATAGTACTTGTGTAAAATTTTTGTAATTGTATTTTTTTTTTTAATTAACATATCTATTCAGCAAAATGCTGTTTATCCAACATCTATTTGCTAGCATTGTCCCCCGTGTTCCAAATAAAAGACTGGCTAATATTTTTATAACAAAATGTGGTGGGTAGGCAAGTCAAAACCACTGAAAATGAATATACATATTGACGCCTACAAGAATACCCTGATGATCTCACACACACACAAATATACCAGTGGAAGATTCTTGTTGGATCTATCACAGAGGTCCAATTTGTATTATCTGATACTAAAATACAATGGCAATTCTGTAAGTTTTCTTAAAATGGGAGGGTTCCAGGACCTATGAAGAAAAGATACCAGCAGTGGCAATCATGCATGTATTAATTAGTTTTTATATTTTTTTCAAGTCAGATTTAGATATTTCTTAAATGCTTTAATTCCAACCTACGCGAAAAATCAACCTCTTTTACAATGCTTCTGTAGAAAGCAGTAGAATGTGGTATGAAAAGTAATAACTCAAATGTTACCAGTAAAGCTTAAAGGACAACTGTTACCTCAACACTATTTAATATTATCTTTCATCACGTTTTGAAAGGAAATAGATTTTTTTTAATATTAAGTATATGTAAATAAGTGAGACAAACTCACCCCTATCTTTAGTATATGACTGGAGGTTTCAGCCATATTCATGCACCTTGGGTCGGACAGTGTCTCTATGGTCTTCCCTGCTAATGTGCAAAGACTTGCGTTTTTCAAACAGTGTCTGACCTAAGGTGCATATATATATGGCTGAAAGATCTGGTCATGTACTGAAGGTAAGGAAGAGTTTTAATATACTTTATTTTAAAAAGAAAAAAATTCCTTTTAAAATTCAATGAAAGGATTATTACATTAAAATTTGTTTTGAGGTGACAGTAGTCCTTTCGTCTTATCTTCATTTGGAGAAGGAGTTATAGTTTTATAATTGAGGTACTCCCATGACGAGAGCAGATCTATTTCACCATGTATAGTAGCTAAACCTGCCAATTGACAATTGTGGTGTAACTATCATGTAACTAAAATTGTGGTGGACTATCATGATTTGAAAGGTTTTGAGTGAAGTAAATAACTGTTCTCAGAATCAATGGTAAAATTATGCATTTAAGTATTTTGCATCTCTGTGTAGACAATGTGCTAAATATATTGCAGTCACTGTAAAAAGTAATGGAATGCTTATACTGAGTGAGGGGTTGTGGGGTTTTTTTTGTTTTTTTTAATAAACGTACTAAGAGATTGATCAAGGAAAAACATATGCAATTCTTGGGCAAATTGCTAAATGAAGAAAAATGACAATGGAAACCAAAAGAATCTCTGTAAACATTCTGAACTTTACATCAGAACCCCATCTGATTCGCATGATACATCTTTCCCATATTCCATTGCTATTTGCACATCCAGTTTAAGATTGCGTATAGCAGCCCATCAGAGGTACAATTTTTATTCTAGGGCAGATGTAGACAAGCTTCGGCACTCCAGATGTTGTGGACTAAATCTACCTTGATGCTTTGCGAGGGTTATGGCTGTATGAGCATTATGGTAGATGTAGTCCACAACATCTGGAGTGCGGAAGGTTGCCTAACCCTTATCAAGGGTTGTTGTACGTAATAGATGTACAGTGTACACAACAAAATAGAGATTCTAAAGCAGGGCTTTGTTCTACATCATCTGATAGGATGATGCATAGAAGTAAAATTGGGTGGAAATAACCCAAGTAGTTCTTTTATAGCCTATATTAGCTTGCTGGAAATCTATGTAGTCCTCTAAAGTCACTGTATTTCATCCACATTAAGCTATATTTACTTTGTGTTATTTTTCTCTTTGATGGCTTCAGTAAAGTAACGAGACACATATTTAACATAATGCTGAAGCTTTATTGGGCTACTATAGGGAGTTAATGTTAAAGTGATCAAGCAGAGAAAGAGTAAGCAGTACATTTTCAGGTGAGGGGGTTATCCATTTCTGGAATAAAAATTTCAGATCAGAGGAAGTGAATCATAAGAAACATTAGATTTTAACAGGTATAATATTTTAATAGGTTTGCCAATAATTATCAATGATACATTCTCACATTCCAGAGAAGCTTATCAGCGAGAATTCAGACGCCTGTATTGCTTTTTACCTCTAGCTCCATTTATTACTGAATTATTTTTTCTGAAACTGCGAATCTGTTGAGAAAAATAGTTTTTTCTTAAGGGTTGAAAGTTTGGATTGGGTTTCACAAATTGTAAAAGGTTTTTGCTCTCTGCCAATAACTCATTACTTTCACTACTGGATTTAGATTCTTGGTGTTGAGGGACATGTTTGGAATTTACATGTTTTGATTCCTCACTAAAAGATTTAGAGGAGGATTTAGAGGACGATTCAGAGGACGATTCAGAGGAAGATTTAGAGGACGATTCAGAGGAAGATTTAGAGGACTCTACTTCGTTATTGTTGCTTGGAGAGGTATCATTGACAATGGAAGAATATACATTTTCATCTCCTGCATTTTCTACAATGGCAGGCACTTCAGAATCTGTAGTGTTTTGTGCAATGTTATTGGAAATTTCTCGCTTTAAGGATGTCTGCTCAACGGAATGTGCTTTGTCTGAATCTTTAACAGGCTTGGCCTGTGCTTCCTGTGGATGCTGTGGAATGTTAGCTGTGGAAACACAATCTCAAATGAATATGAAATGCATATATAATTCAGACTTTGCTTTACTCTGCGACACATGGTATATTAATTGCCAAATGTATCATTATAATTGACAATTGTATATTTTTCCTATCTACTTAGCCCCTTAAGGACACATGACATGTGTGACATGTCTTGATTCCCTTTTATTCTGGAAGTTTGGTCCTTAAGGTGTTAAACAAGTTATTTATCACCATTTATTGTCTACACTTCTTCCCTTTGCCTTCGATTGGTCATTTGGAAAGTTGGTCAATGTGAGAATTTGACTATTTTTCTTGACAAACCAATTCCAGGGGATATTAACTTGACTCATAATTTATACCAACTTTTTTGGCATTCAAAGTAAGGGCTTACTGAAGATGTTCATTCATGTAAGCTTGAACAGTATTTTCTTACATAACCTATGCCTTGGTTGATTAAATGATTAACGCAAAGTAGACATCTGTTTAGTAACATATTAAATGTGTCATAAGAGAATACCATTACATTTACAGAAAGTGGTGGAACGCTTTGAAATTATTATTTTTTCATACTATAATTAATATGCATTGTACACCACAAAAAATGTATCCTTGAAAACATCTTAAATCTTTGTCCTAAATGAAGAGAGTCACCTCCACAGTGAATCTGTATTATTTAATGCAATTAAGCTAATGCCTACATTTAGCATCATACACCTTCTTCAAAACATTGTCATTACAAAAACTTATAGAACATATTTCATTCCATGTAATCCATGTTATGGTGTATCAGTTACAAAGTTATATAGTTTGAAATATAGTTTACATTCATATTTTTATGTGTTAAACTAAATAAGTAAATTATATACACAAGTATGTAGGTTCTACTTTATATTTACATATATATATATATATATATATATATATACATACATACATACATACATAGATATATATACACATAAATTAGCAGAAATCAGTTGTATTTTTTAGAGTGTAAGCACAATTATATCATGGTCATATATACAATAAGAAGGAACACTTAATCACTGTGCAAAGATACAAGGGTTAGTTATAAACTTTACACAACAACTGTTCTTTAAATATATTCCCCACTATAAACCACTGCAATCATCAATGTAACGAATTTCCTATTTTAATGTTTTTTAGGACGTATATATTTTAAAATAGGTTGTGGAGGGATTACTTATCAAAACATAATTGGATAAATAACAAAAAATAAAGTAAAGAACTATCACAGTGATGCTAATTGGTAAAATATATCAAAATATAAAAAGAAAAGTAAATCTAATGCAACCTCAATTAAATGATTAATCATTCATTTTGCACTGGGTATGGGTAACCTGGGGGCTTTGCAAGAGTAAGTGGTCCTTTCCTAATAACCGACTGAATTTTCAATTTCCATATTGAACGCATATGTATCTTATCGCACATATTGGAAGTTCTTTTTTGAATGTCGAATGCTAAATTTTGGAAGTAGAGATTACTCTTCTTACATTTCATTAGCAAAGAGACATATTGTGCTGGGGGGGGGGGTTATAAACTAGGCATTATAAACTTGTTAAAGTAGTATCCTGCCTAATATATATAAATATATTATGTAAACGGTCATTCTAACATGATTATACTAAATATTAAACAAATACTCATATTCTACTGTACATATAAGCTGAGAACATATACATTTTTGAGCAAAAGAAAACGAAAAAAATGGAAAATCTGTAACCTAACTAGTCGACTATTGTAGATGTTCACTTACCTCCAGGAATATTGTTCCTAGCATGAGGGTTCGCCAGGGAAAATGTTTCTGGTTGAGAGTTTATTTTTAGATTATTTTTGTGAGGATTGGTATTGACTGATCCAGAATTGCTGAACTCTATACTTCTCTTAAATGAAGAAATTTCTTGAACCGGCTTCCCCGGGAATAAAAATGGGCGTGAGCCTGATACAAAGAAAGATATAACTTCTGATTAGATGCAAACCTAAATCTTGAAGATTAGGACAGAACAAATGTCTATTCCCCATTGTTAATCTGTCCAGTATGGATATTATAAGAGAAAGGACTGATAAATCCCTATACACCTTCATAGTATCCTTCGACAAATACTTCTATAAATTCTATGTTCACCTCCAATGCATATCTTTTTATTTAAGTAATTCCTTAATCACAATCGAGACTGTGTCCTATGACTTCAGCTGATGTTCTATCTCTCTATGTATCTACTCTATATTCTCCACTGCTACATTGTCTCTACATTTTATTGTCTACAATACGTCTTCTCTAGTTTATTAAAATTCTGGTTTCACTCTATATGAAAAAAAAAAAAAGGATTTAGATATAGCGCTAACTCAAAAGGTGGCAGCAAACCTGCCAGACGGATACCCTGACAATCTAACAGCATTTGGCAGGTAAACGAAGAGAGAGGCAGGTTGCGACAACAAGAACTATCTTTTGTGAATTTAAAATGATTTATTATTCATTTATTAAGTATCGAAAATTGTATAATCTATAAGTATATCTCTAAAAATAAATCTCAAAGGTTGGAAATTAAACTCACTAGCAGGATTATTTTATTAATTTTGTACCAATCTCTCAATTTAATGTACTACTTAAATATATTATACTTACTTATATTATATAATATATTATATTTATATCCATAAATGTTACAGCACTGCTTAATTTGTTGGTGTTTTTAATTAAGTATTCATAATTATAAGGTGTTCGATTGCAACTTTCCATGCTGAATTGTTCACTTTAGGATTAACTTTATTCTCAGTTTTTGATATAATAATTCAGCAGTATATTTTTACTAAGTCATGTTAGACATTTAGTATTCTTATATCTCTTTAATACAATTTGTATACAAGTATGATTAATTTAACCACATCCCCCCCAAATTAGGATGCTTTAGTGAATGATGGCTCTACTTGGCTTCTCTCTTCAAATTTAACAGAGTTTTCTTATTTATCTTAAGATAAAAAGTTTAATCAAGAAAATAATAAATCAAACACAAGTAAAAGTGTGCTAGTAAATCTGATCACTTACCACGTTGGTTGGCAGATAAACAAACACCCACCAAGGTAAATACAATGATGGACTTCATCACTGCCATCATTTCTCACAAATGCGTTGTCATGTAGCAGATAGAGGTGGCTGCTACCTTTTAAGGGAAGAATGTAGCTCCTCCTTTGTAACTATAAATATTAAATGAAAGACAAGTGGGAGCTTTCTACGCAGTCTCAAATGGTCACAATTCTTTGGTTTTCCATGTATCACTTGTTTTCGTGACACTTTCTTATCTGAAGAATGACACAATGCTGATCACCGAGGTGATACAAAAGATGCATGACTGTGTTAAGTCAATGGTAAAAGTAGGTTGCAAAAATGCTGAAATGGAAAACAGACTTGGATTAATTGATCCTATTTAACGCGTTACACCCTTCTCTTCCTAATGTTGATGAAATTAGAAATTCTTACTTTGCACAGGCTTAGGTCTATATATGAAATCAATAATCATAACTTAATAACCAAAAATAAGAAAAGATACATGACAATCTTGGCGTAGTATATAAATTATAATGTGATCAGGGCTGCCCCCGAGACCTAAAAAAAAAGAAATGAGACTGAAATAATTAGAAAAGCAAAAATGTTGAAGTCGGGTTACCAAAACAAATTACAAATATTATCTAAATCAACCTTGCAATTTATGAGGGCATGTTCTATCAGCAGAAAATAAACTAAAACAATTACTAAGATTTCTCTTTAGTGTTTTCGAACTCATTAGTAGTGGATTGTTTTTGGCATCATGTAATCATTTGCAGATACTACTGTGCAGGCTTTACTTTGTAAAAAGAATCATTGACTATATTGCTGGTCTAAAAAAACATATTTTAATGTGTCCCAGATAAAGACATTGAAATATTTTCTGCATTTACCTAAAGTGGTTGGCTTATCTTCGCAGTACCAACCACATACAATATTTATTCTTAATGCATTAACTGCATTCGCTCACCTGCTGAACAACATCTCAGCCCAATTTCAGAGGCTGGCTGAAGATCATGGGGGTTATGGTCCAACAAGAACTTAAAAAAAAAAGTCTGATGTAATACCTCAAGGCAGCACAATCACTTTCCATGCCACTCCCACCAAACAAAAGAGTTGATGAGAGATGCATGGAAGGACAAACAGTGACACAAATCTCTGTAAATATTTAAACATGCAAGACTTAGACAACTTGCACTTTTTTCCAAATGGAATTTTTGACACGTTTCACAATCCATTTTATTATATTGTTGTCTACTTTTTGTTGTTTCATTAATCAGCATCATACTTGTTTATGTAAACCTCCTCATTTGCTTGTGTCTAGTATCGCAGGTGTCTAATACGAAATATTTACTATCAGGCAATGATAATGGTATTTATGTTTTTTCAACATTTATTTGTATTCATTCACTTCACTTCAACCATGATATGTACTTCATATTTATAGATTTAAAACAAGGATTTATCAAGTTATTGCATATAAGGGACAGTAACAATTTGGGTTGCATTGATACATACAAGCATTACTGAAAAAGAAAAGAAAAGGGAAAATCTATTTTTTTCCTTTTAATAATCCCTTTTGGCAAAAAATGTATGAGCAACACATTTATCCTGTTTGTAGAGTCAGGTATAAAAAGTCAGGTATAACTTTGATATTCTAAGTTGTTTACTGTACATACATACTTAGACCCTAAAAGTATGACTGATAGAGAATCCAAGTGATATTCAAAGTTTTAGTACAGGTTTTGAATGGAACCATTCAACATATTTTTTTTTTTTTAAATGATAATTTTTTTATTTTGATACAAATATACATTGGAAGGGGGAAAAAAATGAAAAAGGAGCGGGAAGGGAAGGGGGTAAGGGATAACAATGCAATTTATTTAACATTGTTTAGACATTGTCCTGTTAGAAAAAACAGCTTAATTGCAGCAGGCCTTGCAAGGACTCGGTGCAGGCATTTCCAGGTTGAGATTACATTGTCTCCCAAGTGAGAATATACAGAGTAACATACATAGAATAGCATGAACTTATTTACAGCGAATGGCAATAGCTATGATTGTTGCTGTTGTATACACCTGTTGGATAGGGGGCTTTCCCCTAGGAGCGTTATTTCGGTGGGCGATTGTATTTCTGTTGACTGTGGGGTGTGTGGGGGGGACTGTCTCCGGTCTGGAGGTGATTGCAATCTGTATCTCTGCCACATTTCATACATGCGAATATTTGAGTTCCCTGCGCTCATGTGTAATGTTGCAAATCGTTCGTACGCTACATTTGTGGTAATCAGGTCTATCAATTCTTCCTCTTTGGGGGTCGAGTCAGATCTCCAGTGTCTGGCAATCAGCATTTGCGCTGCAATTACTATTAGAAATATTAGTTTTCGGGAGTGCTTCGGGAGGTTAAGTGGAGCTAAGTGCAGTAAGAAGGCCTCCGCCGTTAGGGGCACCTGAGACTGTGTGCTGTGGTTGGCCATCTCCCCCACCATTTTCCAGTAAGGTTGGATAAGTGGACAAGTCCACCATATGTGAAATGTGTCTCCGGGACTTCCCTGGCATCTCCAACATTTGTTGCTAGTGGAGTGATACATTTTAGAAAGCTTGTTTGGTGTCAAGTACCATCTGTACAATATTTTCCTCGATGTCTCAACGTGTGAGGCGCATAGTGAGGACCCCTTATGTGCAGTGTGTGCCCTGTCCCATTCCTGTGGGGACAGTTCCCTCCCCAAATCTTTGTGCCATTCTTTCTGGTAGCCCCAGACCTTAGTTTGGGGTTCGTTGATGATCGCGTTGTAGCAGAACGAGAGTGCTCTTTTCTGTTGTTTTGGGCTAGTACATTTGCATTCAAATCTTGTCATTGATCCTGGCAGTTCTCCTCCCCCTGAGTGTGTACGGGCAGCTGTAATCGTGTGACATTTGCAGGTATGAGAAGTAGGCAAGCTGTGGAATTTTGAGCCGATCTCTCAAATCTGCGAACGTCCTAAGTGCGCCCAGGTGCATAAGCTGATGTAGGTGGGTAATCTCGTGTTTGACCCAGATTTTGTAATTAAAGGAAGGGTTTAGTGCATGAAGGGTTCTCAACGGGGTGGCTGGTGACCACTTGGAGGGAGAGCACACCCTGTGTCTATTCTTATCCCATATTGAAATCATGTGTTGGCAGCATATTGGGGGTCTTTGGGCATACTTCTTTGGGGGCCCATAGGAGATGTGAAAGGTGACCACCCCCCAATCTGGAAGACTCCAGTGTCACCCACTGAGGAGCCCGGGACTGGGCGTGGCACCCAATTATGTTGGCTAGTTGGGTGGCCCTGTAGTACTCCCTAACGTCAGGGAACCCCAGTCCTCCACCTCTCACTGTGCGAGACAGTAATCTCCACGCGACCCTCGGTCTCTTGTGTTGCCAGCTAAATTTAGACAAGGTCGTCTGTAGAGATTTAAGGAACTTGGCGGCAACCCTAATTTGTAGAGTGTGGAATAGGTACAAAATCTTTGGCAGAATCATCATTTTAATGGCCGCGCATCTGCCCACCCATGACATAAATGATCCTTCCCATTTCCGTAAGGTGTTTGCTATCTGAGAGTGGAGTGCCTGGTAGTTCGTGTTGAAAAGGGCCCTATGTGAGCTCGTCAATTTAATCAACAAAAATGTCAGGTGGTCCTGCCTCCAGTCAAAGTTGAATGACGCCTTCAGCGGATCTAAGACGTCCTTGCCTAGGCCTATTCCCATCGCTTGTGTCTTTGTAGTATTGAGTTTGTAATATGACTGTGCGCTGAAGTTTTGTAGTTCTTTTTGGAGGTTGGGGAGGGAAATGGTTGGGTGGGATAGAGTCAGTAACACATCATCCGCAAATAGGTTTATTTTGTATTCCCGATCATTTATTGTTATGCCATGTATGTTGGGGTTGCATCTAATAGCTTCTGCAAGCGGTTCTAAGGCTAGTACATAGAGAAGCGGTGACAGTGAACAGCCCTGCCTGGTGCCGTTTGTAATGGCAAACGGGTCGGATAGAAAGCCCGAGGATGAGACTGCTGCATTGGGGGTGCTATACAGGGCTTTGACTGCCGTTGAATACGTTTGTGGGAACCCAAATTTTTTAAGGACAGCATCTAGAAACCGCCAGTTCAGTCTATCGAAGGACTTCTCCGCGTCTAAGGAGACTAGGAGGCCTTGTTTCCTGTCCATGTGAAGTGCTTGTAATACGTCTACCACTTTTTGGGTGTTGTCCGAACCTTGTCTACCCTGAACAAACCCTTCTTGATCATCTGAGATAATTGTCGGGAGGATGGATTGTAGACGTGTGGCTAAAATCTTTGCGTATAGTTTAGTGTCCGCGTTCAAAAGGGAGATTGGGCGGAAATTCTGGCAAAGCATTGGTGCCTTACCCTCTTTCGGGAGGGTTATCACCCTGGCTGCCAAAAATTCTGAGGGGAAGGTGCCCATCTGTCGAGCATGATTAAAGGTAGACAGGATGTGAGGGGATAAGAGGTGTTTAAATTTCGCGTAATATTGATTTGTGTAGCCATCTGGGCCTGGGGCCTTCAACGGAGGGAGGGAGTCTATGCAATCCATTATTTCAGTCTCTGTGATTGGGGACGCCAGGCTGTGTTTTTGGGGTTCTGATAAGGTTGGCAAGGGAACCTCCGATAGGTATGATTGGATGGTCGTAGCTGAGGGATCTGGGGTGTCTGGGTCGTCTTTGAGGTTGTATAGTTGGCTGTAGTAATGCGCAAATTCACCGCAGATTTCCGCAGGGAGTTGTACTTTGTGACCTTTCTTACTCAAGATGTATGCTATACGTGATTGTTGTTGTTTGTCTTTCAGTCTGTGGGCTAGGAGTTTGCTCGCCTTATTACCTTGTGAGTAGGCGTGTGTTTTCAGTCTATTGAGCATAAGTCCGAACTTGTGAAGTCTAACCTCTTTAAGCTTTTCTTGCAGGGCAGCTATTTGTTGCTTATGCACCCTCATTGGGTGTGTTTGGTTCTCCTTGTGTAGATGTTCAAGACTCTGTGTGATGTGTGTAATTTCTTTGTCTCTTTGTTTCTTAATGTATGACGCCCTGCTTATTAGAGTACCCCTGATCACTGCCTTATGGGCCAGCCAGAGCATGTGCGGGTCTTGCGTCGAGGTGGCATTCGTGTGGAAATAATTTTGCAGCTCCTTTTCCAACTTCGTGCAAAACTCTGTGTCTCTGAGCAGACTCTTGTTAAGGCGCCAGGGACTCCTGTGTTTAAAGTCATATGTGCATGCAAGAGTCGTTATTACTGGGGCATGGTCTGACCAATCCAAGGTCATGATGTCACACCCTAGCACTTGGGTCATGGAGGAATCGTGCCTAAGACAGTTATCTATACGTGAATACGTATTGTGTACCTTGGAGTGGTGCGTGTAGGTTTTTTCGGACGGGTGGAGAGCTCTCCACACATCCCGAAGTCCATGGTTGGCCAGCACCACTCTGATGGCCTTGCTTTGTTTTTTGAGGGAGCTGTAGTGATGGGAGGAGGGGGGCCTGGTGGAGTCCATGGAGGGGTCCTGCACGTGATTCAGATCTCCACTGACTACTAGGGTGCCTTTTCTTAGTCTATCTGCTTGGGTTAGAACTTTATGGAGGAAGTTCCCCTGGTTGGCGTTTGGAGAGTATACGTTTACTAAGGTGAAGTCCAGGTCATTTATAGTGCATTGCCAGATTATGTACCGACCTCCTGGGTCTATGATGTGTGTGTTTGACTTCACTATCAGGTCTTTACTGAGGAGGATGGATACCCCTTTAGATTTTTGTGGTGTCGTAGCATGTAGTTGGTGGGGGTACCCCCGATTTCCTACTGGAGGGTGGGCACCGGTTCTGAAGTGGGTTTCATGTAGGAATGCAACGTCTGCCTGTGTCCTTCTGAGTTCCCTCTCTAGGGTGTGGCGTTTAAAGGGTATGTTTAGGCCCTGGACATTATGGGAGTATAGTTTTAGACTGAATGTTGAGGGTGGCTAATGCTTGTGTCCCTGTGATGTGGGTTGTGAGTGGCCTGGAAGGGGCCCTCATGTGCTCGGCGCCCCCCTCTTTAACATTGCCCCCAAACTGGGGTTGAGAGTTCCCTGCTGTGTGTTTGAATGCGTCGGGGTCCTTGCGCTGACGAGGAAGTGTGCTGACCCGTGAGATCATATACATTGCCAACTTAAACAAACGCATAACATATATACAAAAACATAAATACAACATTGTCCCCCGCTAAGAGAGCGAGGGGAAGTGGAGAACAAGATTTTCCCTGCTAGTTTCTCCCACTAGCTATGACCTCCCTGGGGGAGTGTAGATCCCGGTCCGAACCCGGACACTCAGTTGGCCGAGGTCCCCACACCTTCGGCTTGTGTGTTTAATTCCTGGTATGAAGTGGCATGTTTAAGTCGGAGAAACCTCTTGACTATTATATAGATATGTGTTGTTTTTTGTTTTTGTTTTTTTCGTTATTGTATATTTATTTATTTTATATGGTCCCTCTCTTATGGGTCTCCAATCTGTTCTCGGGCCGCATCGCTGCCCGGGAGGGGCAACTTCTATGAGCTATGGGTAAGGGTTCGTAGTTTGGGGGGGGTGAGAGTATATGGCAGTCGCATACTCTGGGTGTGAGATGAGTCTGGGTGGGGACTTCACAACCCCTCAAGGAGGCTGTGCCCCCCTGCCTATTTCTTGTCCATCTGGTTGCCCAGCTCCCCTCCTATTAATGCCCCCTTTTTTTTTTCTCCCCTTAAGTTTAGGCCTCTGCTGTCTATCCATAACATATACCCATACCAGAGTGTGAATATTACCCACAGTCAGGTGATATCCGTGGAAACTGTTACCCTTGAGTCCATAGGGTCTCTAGTATCTGCAATGTCCGTGTGGTGACTTTAGAGAGTTTGCGATGTCTTCCTGGCCGTCCGGCAGCTCTGTTACTTGGCCGTGTGTGCTCGCCCTGTTTTAGTGTTCTTAACTGTCTTCCATCCCTGCTGGATCTCCGCTGGACGGTGAAGCGTAGCTCCTGTTTGGGAGTCTCGATACCCCAGCTTCGCAGCAGGCGGGTACCCGCGGCAACGTCCATTGCGGTATACGTCCTGACTTCCTTTAAAATCAGCAGTTTTATCGGGAATCCCCATCTGTACGGGATGTTCCTGTTCCTTAATTCTGATGTGATATCTTTGAATACTCGCCTCCGCCTCAGCGTTTCTGCAGAGAGATCCGCGTAAACTTGTGATGTAGAATTATTAAAATCTTTATTAGAACCTGTATTGAATTATTGTACTAACTCCATTTTGTTCACCTTACATGACAGAATTTCCTGACAGTATTTAGTATAATGAATAAGAGATTGTATTTTCTCTCTCTAAGGACATAACTAGCCCCGGAGTTAGCGGATCTCCGTTGACTTGCAACATAGTATAATCCAAGGCCAGGAGAACAGTGACAAAATGAAATGTTCTATTCATAAAAGAACCTTGGAACAGACCACGAGACTGACATCACTAACTACGTAAAATGACGCCCAAGCCCCCCTTTCCACCGAGTAAGCCTCGTGCTAAAGAGCAATGGCGACGACATCCCATGATGGGAGGGTGCCTCACTAGTCACTCAAATCTCTGAGCCAATTAATAATATTAATGGGTGGACACTGACATAGCCACTTAACATTTAACCCAATTAATGATGTTTATTTGTTATTATCTGATATTCAATGATGATGTCATTTTGCATATAAAAAGGCCTGCGTGCCCACTTTTTAACTAGATGCTAATAAATTTCCTGAAGTGTTTTTAACCTGAACTGCATGTGTCAGTGTAAACTTACTTCTGCGTATACGCAATTTATTCATCTCAGATTTGGACAGGAACAGATAGACTTTTAAACATTTTTGTTTATTTCTAAATTAATCTACATCAATCTGGCGTCCATCCAACGTGGGGCATCGGGCTATGGCCTCCGCCGGTAAGCCGTCCTAAGGAAGACGCTGTTGGACGGAGGAATCAGGGGGGAAGGAAGAGAGACTGATCACCTCTGAGTACACGGTAGAGACTTCTGCAGGAGCCACCGGTATGTTCCAGCCCCTTTGATTGACCCGTCCACGTGTCTGTGACTGCTTCCCGGGAGGGCATCAAAGACAGGTAATATCTTGCCCGGTGTCTTGTTACCCATTTGTTTACCTGCATTTAGTCTATCTGTTGCCTGGGTGTGCTAGTGGTATATGTTTTGTTCTTTCCCTCTTTAGAGATAAAGGGGGGTGGACCCGTGGGTGGTTGCCTGGGGGTCTTCTGTTGCCTGTTTTTACCCCCTTTTAGGAGTCACTTGGCCCAGACTGTTGGGAAAAAAGGGGGGGTGGACCTGTGGGGATTTTCCAAAGGGGTCCTGTTTTCCTGTTTACTTCTTTTAGGTACTGTCTAGCTAACAGTAGTAAGGAAAAAGAAGGGTTGGGGATTCTGTGGAGGGGACTTGCCTCCTGGGGTTTCCCGGTTACGTCACTTTGATATTCTAGCTAGCCTCATTGTGTACGTTGCTCTGCTTGCAGAGGTTATGGTACCCTCCAGCTTCGAGCGCTGAGGCTGGTGGCATTCCAATTTATTTGTGGTGTGTGGATTCGGGCAGGCATTGTTGTCTCCATCACCACGGGGTAGTGTGACTTGTGGGTGGGTCCATAGGGAGCACTACGGGAGTGAGGATAGAGGTGGCCACACTTAGTGGACTGCTGTAACGAGGGAGGCATATGGATTTCGGGCCGGTGTTAGTCGTTATCCTTGGCCGCTGGTAGTGAAACTTACGAAAGTTGTTCTCCGAGCGGGGACACTACGAGATTGAGGGAGGTGGTCTTGGTGGCCACAAGAGTAAAGGAAAGGGATTACTGTTGATGCATGCACTGTATTTCAATTGAAATGTTGTATTAAATGTTGTCTTAAGTGTGGAGTCATTCAAACTCCTGGGTCTGTCTCTACTTTCACTGTTTACTTTTCCTCTACTTCCTGTACTATTTACACTATCCACTCCTATTTCTCTTGAAAGAGAAGTGATTGGTCACACACTTCTCACCCCGCTCCAATCCGTGGTTACCATCGAGGGTACACGGATTCAGTGACTGGTCTACGCTTTGGGAAGACGCACTGGGAGGGACCCACCCTTCCTAGTGGCAGTCGAGCATTGTAGACGTTCTGTTTCATTTTCCTTTACCTATACTTTGTATATGTTTTTATACGCTTTGTATAGGGGGATATGGGACAGGAAACGAGTAAGCCCGCTAGGGGCTGGCTCGCGTGTGATTTAGTTGAAGATAGAGAAGGTGAAGAACTGGTTAAAAATGTTGCAAAGATTGCTAAAGTGTGTAGAATTGCTGTGCCTTCATGTGGTAGATTACAGCCAGAAAGCTGGCGTAGATTACTGACAGAGAAGAAAGGCAAGCTTACAGATAATGATTTATTGCGTACTGCTGAAGCATGGTACAGAGTAGAAAGGCTATCCAGCAGGAGGGTTGGGTAGAGGAAGAGATAAATCATAAAGGGTTAAGAACTGTATGTATATCATAATAATTGTGTTACTGGGAAGTTATCCCAGCCAGTGCCCTGTCGGGGGTTCCAGGAGGTGACCACTTCCATCATCCTGTCAGTAATGACCGAAATGTAGCTGACCATGGTCACCATCCCACCCCAATCTTAAAAACGCTGTGGGGTTTTTGTATTTTGTGTTAGCCATTACCCTGGTAGAGGGTGGGGGTTTAAATGAAATGTTGTGTTTTTGCTTTGTAATGTAATTGTCCTTCTGTCTTGTTACTGTACAGCGTTGACATGGTTAAATTCGTGCTGACAGGCAGTCTCTCTCTTGTTCCACTCAAATCCCCCTCTGCTAAAACACCCCCCCCCTCCCCTCGCTTCTGTGAGACGCGGGGGGGAGGGGGCGGAGGGGGGTGGTGACATGCTTGCGATTTAGGTCTGTCTCTTCGGTGTTCTGTAGAGTTATTCAGAAGCTACTGATAAGATTTTAGCAATGAAATTTTTGCTAGAAAATATTCTAATTGTGTATTTTGTTATCTCAATAGAAATTGATAGGATGGTTAGGGAGTGAATCTGATGCAGGAATAGAAGTTATTAAGTTAGTATATGTTTCTAGAGACAGCTTTGTGGGCTGTTAGATGTATAATATTCACAACTGTCTTATTTAATCCGTCAAGTCTGTCCACAGTTCAGATTTTCATTTTGCCGAACAGAATGTTACTTCCCATGAAACCCACGCCTCCAGAGAGACTTAGTATGCCCTAAAGGAAAATGGCCCCTAGAACAAAAGAAGGTTGTCCTTAAGTGCCTTCACTCTGCCCTTAGTGAGGTCATATCTGCCCATATATCGTGTCAGTTCTGGCCATCCATGGCTGACGAGATCTACTCCTATCATGCTCATCCTATCTTAAGACATCCTATCTTAAATTCCCACATATTATGAACAAGAAAGTTACAATTACTAAAATAATCCTGCTAATGTTTCCCTATATCAGAAAAGTGTCTGTGACAAGTGATGGTTAATATGTAGAAAGGATATATATATACCGATTCACGTGTTAAGTAACAATATGTTTTAACTTTGTGTACAAAAAATTGATAACATGCTAAAAGAAATTTCTAATAAACAAAGATTTCTTGAACAAATGGTAATACAATTAAAGATTGGTCTCAAGATGTTTTGATCTAATTGAAAAGAACCAGAAAACATTATGAGCCTAACTACTAACAAATGGATAAGGGGGGAGTGTGTTCCAATCTGTCTTTATTGGATAATGTTAACCACCAAGATTAAAGACTGACTAACATATTTTTTTTTAATGTAAGCCCAGATATTTTATTATTATATATGCATAGAAGTCGAGACTTTGGGCATTATAGTGTATTGATTCTAGATCTGTTACTAGCAGCAAGTGCTTAGCCTTATGCCTATCCCACGCATGCTTAAACACTCCTTTACTGTGTTAACCTCTATCACTTCAGCTGGAAGGCTATTCCATGCATCCACTACCCTCTCAGTAATGTAATACTTCCTGATAGTATTTTTATTTAAACCTTTGTCCCTCTATTTTTGAGACTATGTCCTCTTGTTATGGTAGTTTTCCTTCTTTTAAATATAGACTCCACTTTAACTGTGTTGATTCCCTTTGTGTATTTAAATGCTTTTATCATATTTCCCCTGTCTCGTCTTTCCACTAGGCTATACATGATAAGATCCTTTAACCTTTCCTGGTAAGTTTTATCCTACAATCCATGAACCAGTTTAGCAGCCCTTCTTTGAACTTTCTCTAAGGTATCCATGTCCTTCTAAGGATATGGTCTCCAGTACTGTATACAGTACTCCAAGTGAGGTCTCACCAGTGTTCTGTACAATGGCATGAGCACTTCCCTCTTCCTACTGCTAATACCTCTCCCTATACAACCAAGCATTCTGCTAGCTTTTCCTGCTGCTCTATTACATTGTACATTGTCATTAACAGAGAGAAACTGGAAACCAGAAAGGATAAATTAATGTATAGCTAAATGTAAAGCTTAACAAAACCTCCATTATCTTTTTCATTTATCTCGCAGAAAAACAATGTTATTTGTCTATTTTGTAAGTTTTAATACATTATCAGTGAAGAGTAAAATAAGTTTTATCCCTTTTGCGAGACATAAAATTGCGATAATGTATATTTGTGATGTAAGTAAGAGTTATATTTTATAATAGGTTGAAAAAAAAAAAAGAGAGAGTCAGGGATAGCGTCTGTCTCTACGAGCAAAAGTCTGGTGTGGGAGATGTAGTGGACTAGCCACTGCGGGATACCCACGGAGTGAAGCGTTCGAGGCCTGTACAGACAGATGTGCTTGTTAGCCTTTTATTATTTTTCTCTAGGGAAAGCATAGGGCCAGTTAAAAGTTGTTGTACATGGACTATTTGCAGCCTCCATTGCATTTCTACTTAGTTCTGATTTCTGATGTATCCTCCACTGCTACATACCCACGCCTCCATATGGAGACCTGTCTGCTCCCTTACCTGCCCACCCCTGCCTACTCCTACTCCTCCTCCTACTCCACCTTCTCCTCCCTCTACTCCACCTTCTCCTCCTCCTACTCCTCCCTCTACTTCACCTTCTACTCCACCTTCTCCTCCCTCTACTCCACCTTCTCCTCCTCCTACTCCACCTTCTCCTCCTTCTACTTCTCTCTCCTTCTCCTTCTCTTTCTCCTCTCCTCTACTCCACCTTCTCCTCCTCCTACTCCTCCCTCTACTTCACCTTCCACTCCTCCTATTCCAACCCTCCCACTCCACCTTCCCCTCCTCCTACTCCACCTTCTCCTCCTCCTACTCCTCCCTCCTCCTCTTATTCAATCCTACTCCTCCTATTCCTCCTTCTACTCCACCTTCTCCTCCCTCTACTCCACCTTCTCCTCCTCCTACTCCTCCCTCCTACTCCACCTTCTCCTCCTCCTACTCCTCCCTCCTACTCCACCTTCTCCTCCTCCTACTCCTCTCTCTACTCTACCTTGTCCCCTACCTGACAACATTATATTTTGAAAAAAAACAAAAACAAAAAAAAAAAGTTGCTCTGGCCCCTCTTCCGCCACTTCCCAGGGGGGAATACCACACTAAAAAAAAAAAAAAATTATTATTCATACTGTTTTGGGCACTCTCAAGGAAATAGTGCGGTCCTGACCCAGATTCCCATGGAAGTAAGACACCTGTATCATCACTGGGAGGTGGCTGCCCCTCATGTTTTCTTCACTAAGTCCCCAGAAATCTCATAAAAGGAACCTGACTCAATAAAACATGAAACACTAAAAATCGATATCAGCTCTCTACAGAGGGGGGGCAGCAAGACAACTGTAAATGGAAAGACAAATACCCTCAATCTCACACAGAAATAGGTGAGGATATCTCTTCTACTACTCCTCATGGTTGCTTTGAACAGATGAAAGAAGAAATAAGACACCTCTCAACAAGGCATGCAGTAGCTTTGCCAGATCCTGACTCCACTCTGTTTGCGGATGAAGAGGAAAGGTACCATACTGGATTTGCTGTTGCTACAGAAGATCAGGTACGTCAAGCATCTTTACTTTCCTCACCCACATCTGCTCAAGACACCAAATTGACAGCCTTCTCAGTGGCATGCAAATTGTTTGTTTCTGAAAGACAAGGCCATGCAACAGGAGTGCTCACTCAGGCCCATGGTCCTGGAGGCCGCCAAGGGCCTATTGGATTTTTCTCCTGCCAACTGGATATTGTGGCCAGAGGACGTCCCTCTTGCCTTCGGGCCGTCTTTGCTGCCAGAGAGCTCATTGAAAGAACTGGAGATCTTGTCCTTGGCCACCCCCTGGTTGTCTTGGCCCCCCATGACATTTCTGCCATAGTCAACCAGGTCCAACTTAAGCATGTTACTCCTGCTAGGCATCTTCGCCTTCAATGTCATCTTTTGTTGCCTGACAACATTACCCTCCAAAGATGTCAAGTTCTCAATCCGTCCACTCTTCTGCCACTCCCTGAGGGGGGTGTATACTACGGATTCATCATGGACGAAACTTATGTTTTTCTTCTCACTGGCACCATCAAGAAGGAAATGCATCCCAACCTATCCTTTCATGATGGACAAGCACTCCTTCATGACGGAGCAGGATATGCCTTCTGTACCATGTGGTACAAATCAAACATCACTCCTGAAACCTGCTATGAAGATGAACTCTATCATCTGGTCGAAGTAAAACTCACTGCACAAGACTTCTACTGTGATTCTGAAGGCAACAGTATGGTCTTGATTCATCTACCTCCGGAACTCAAGCATTTGTACTGTCATTGGGACACTGCCATTCCACATGTCCCTGTGACCAAGTTGAAAACAATATCATGGAATGATCTTGGGCCTATGGCAAAAGCATGGGCCACTATGGACGAATCACAGCTACAGGAAAATGGTGTTGTCAAATATCCAACAACTGACCACCTAAAAGCATGGCCGCGTCATTTCCTGGAGAATGAGTTCCAAGATTTAACCATAGTAAATGACTACGACCCAGATACACCTCATGACTGTTTTGAACAGATGAAAATGGAAACAACACATCTACCAACTGTGCATGAAGACCCATTGGTAGATCCCGATCTCACCCTGTTTGTGGACGGCTCAAGATATGCTGATGAAGAAGGAAGATACCATACAGGATATGCCGTAACCACAACAGATGAAATTGTCAAATCATCATCTTTACCATCAACTATGTCTGCACAAGAAGCTGAATTGCAAGCCCTGACTTCAGCATGCAAGATCTCTGAAGGAAAGCGCGCCAATATCTACACGGATTCAAGATATGCACTGGGCGTGGCTCACGACTTCGGATTAATTTGGAAAACAAGAGGATTTCTTACCACCACCGGTACACCAATCAAGCACGGTTCCGCAATCAAGGAGCTGATGGACGCCCTCCTACTCCCAGAAGAAGTGGCTATTTTGAAGATAAAAGCACATGGGAAGTTGGACTCAGATGAAGCAAGGGGCAACCATCTAGCTGATCAGGCTGCAAAAGAACCACAGGAAGTGGAAAGAAGAGTGTCCGGAAATGAAGAAACTCCCATATTTACTCTGCAGACTCTTCCAACTGACCTAAAAATCCTGCGGGAACAACAGGCTACAGTTGCCCCTGAAGAAATACAGAAGTGGAAACAGAAAGGGGCAGTTCTGAAGGATGGAGTGTACTCCAACAACCCCAAGTTCTGCCTCCCTAAGAATTTGTACCCAGCAGTCGTACAATGGGCACACGGACCTGCACATTTATCAAAGGATCTAATGAATGCTCTT